GAGGTGTACAGTATATTTGTTTTTCTGTCTATTTGGTACTTTTTACATAGAAATATAGACTGTGATGGCAAATAAGAACCTTTCGGCCCATCTAGTCTGCCCAATTTTCTAAATACTTTCATTAGTCCCTGGCCTTATCTTATAATTAAGATAGCCTTATGCCTATCCCACGCATGCTTAAACTCCTTTACCGTGTTAACCTCTACCACTTTAGCTGGAAGGCTATTCCATGCATCCACTACCCTCTCAGTAAAGTAATACTTCCTAATATTATTTTTAAACCTTTGCGCCTCTAATTTAACACTATGTCCTCTTGTTCTGGTAGTTTTTCTTCTTTTAAATATAGTGTCCTCCTTTACTGTGTTGATTCCCTTTATGTATTTAAATGTTTCTATCATATCCCCCCGTCTCGTCTTTCCTCAAAGCTATACATGTTAAGATCCTTTAACCTTTCCTGGTAAGTTTTATCCTGCAATCCATGAATCAGTTTAGTAGCCTTTCTCTGAACTCTGTCTAAAGTATCAATATCCTTCTGGAGATACAGTCTCCGGTACTGCGTACAATACTCCAAGTGAGGTCTCACCAGTGTTCTGTACAATGGCATGAGCACTTCCATCTTTCTACTGCTAATACCTCTCCCTATACAACCAAGCATTCTGCTAGGATTTCCTGCTGCTCTATTACATTGTCTGCCTACCTCTAAGTCATCAGAAATAATCACCCCTAAATCCCTTTCCTCAGATGTTGAGGTTAGGACTCTATCAAATATTCTGTACTCTGTTTTTACGTCCAAGCTGCATTATCTTGCACTTATCCACGTTAAATGTCAGTTGCCACAATTCTGACCATTTTTCTAGTTTACCTAAATCATTTGCCATTTGGCTTATCCCTCCTGGAACATCAACCCTGTTACATATTTTTGTATCATCAGCAAAAAGACATACCTTACCATCAAGACCTTCTGCAATATCACTAATAAAAATATTAAAGAGAGTCTAAGTACAGATCTCTGAGGTACCCCACTGGTGACAAGACCATGCTTTGAATATACTTCACTGACTACAACCCTTTGTTGCCTGTCACTCAGCCACTGCCTTACTCATTCAACAATATAGAAATCCAAACTTAAAGATTGCAGTTTTTTTGATAAGCCTTCTATGTGCAGTGTCAAAAGCCTTACTGAAATCTAGGTTAGCAATGTCTACTGCACCACCCTGATCTATTATTTTAGTTACCCAATCAAAAAAATAAAATAGGTTTGGCATGATCTCACTGAAGTAAACCCATGTTGTCTCTGATCTTGAAATCCATGTGATTTTAGATGTTCAACAATTATATCCTTTCACATGATTTCCATTACGTTCCTCACTACTGAAGTAAGGCTTACTGGCCTATAGTTGCCCGACTCCTGCCTACTAGTTCTTGTGAATGGGCACAACATTTGCTAACTTCCAATCTTCTGTGACTACTCCTGTTAATGATTGGTTAAATAAATCTGTTAATGGTTTTGCTATCTTTTTCATATTTTATCATATCTTTTCCTTAAAGGGTCACTATAGTCACCTGAACAACTTCAGCTTAATGAGGTTGTTCAGGTGAGAACTATAGCTCCCTGCAGCCTTTCTCATGGAAACACTGAGAAAATACAGTGTTTACATTGAAAGCTATGAACACCTCCAGTTGCAGTCACTTAGAGTGAACCAGAGGGACTTCTGAGTTGATGGAGGCATAATATGCCTCCATCCACTCAGATCTGCTGTGCACGAGCATCCTGTGATTCAGTATATCCTCCCACTGCATGCAGATACTGAACTTTCCTCATAGAGATTCATTGATTCAATTGATTCAATGAGGAGATGCTGATTGGCCAGGGGTGTGTTTGAATCATGCTGGCTCTGCCCCTGGTCTGCCTCCTTGTCAGTCTCAGCCAATCCTATGGGGAAGCACTGTGATTGGATCAGGCTATCACATGTCAGCAGACTGCTTGTTTTTCCTGAGTCTAACCGCATGCAGATTTACAACTTCTGGCTTGAATACGGTAAGATTTTTAATATATTTATGGAGGCAGGGGGGGCTAGATGGTCGTGTTAACACTATAGGGTCAGGAATACATGTAGTTGCACTGGTGACACTAGTGTCCCTTTAATTGTAACTTTTTCCACTAAAGCAGCCACTGCTTTCTCATTGGGGCATTTTTACTCTTGGTATATAATAACTTAACATGGAATTGAATACTCATTTTCTTTATTGTGGTACATTCTTTCCTTTCTAGAAGGAATTGTGACATGGTTAATCTGTTACCATAGTTGAATGGATTCCGTAGAGCCTGCTTTCTGAACTAATGCTCCTGCCCTCTGGCAATACTTTGTGATTGTTCTAACAAAGTCCTGTAGAGCCACATTGTTTTACACATTTACATGTAGTTAACAGCAAGGTTGAGCAAATGTTGAATATATTTGGTGCCTAGAAGGCAAACTGTGTAATAGCAATTTTCCTTGGGCTCTTTTTCATTTGGTGTAGAGAAGCATAGTTTATTTGGCTAGTCATCTGTCTTTTATGCATTACATGCTTTCTGTACGTTTACCTTTCCTAGCTAAAACTGGTTCTTGTTGCAATTCCACCTGACTTTGACATGGCATCGAGCCATAAGTTACAAATAGCAACTGTACATATTTAACATCCCTTTTGAATTGCGTTAATGTTCTCATTTAATGTGACCACTATTAGATGTTCTCATTTACTGTCATTCATAAACATATTTTGTTGCATGGTTGTTTTTCTGTTATGTAGTTCCATATGTCACTAACCAATAACTGTGCAAATGGCTCAGGCCATCTCCTCAGGATGACAGATCATTTTGGAAGCAAGGCCCCGGTGGAGATAGCAGAAATACACGATACATCCATGATCAGAACCAGAAGAATTTGGTCAGTGTTCCAACCGTGATCTACCAAGACAAACTCATGACAACCCTTTGAGAGTTAGACTAACTCCATCTGCCATTCTAGCTCTCCATTGCATTACATGAACTCATGTGTCGGTCTGTCATCTGAAATGTGTTGTTTGAAATGCTAACTGCTTTCACATCATCTGAATGTGTCTTGTTTGAAACGCAAACCACTTTCACATCTGTTAAGTTTGGTTCCCTGCTGGTCTGTACAGTATGTTCAAGAAATTATAAACTGTTTTCACTCATTATATTGGAGAAAGCAGGAACATTTTAAGTCATTGTGACTATAGTAGTAATTGTTCCAAAACAAAATTAATATTGTATCTCTCCTTTTTGAATTTTTTTATTATGCAGTCGTAAACCTAGATCTGATGTAACTAGGGAGGAAAATATGGCACAGAGCCACATATCTTTTTAGACTTTTGATAATGGATGTGTAAATATTACTCTGGCTAAAAAAACTCATCACCTTGTTGGTGTTGAGGAGTATATGTATATAAATAGCTATTATTTTTTTATGACCTTGAAACAAGTAGGTGGTTGTTGCTCTTATCGCTCAGATTAGATTTTTTTTCTGAAACTTGAAAGTGATTTTTTTTAATTTTTTTTGTTAAATATACACAATAGTGTTATGGCACCATAGGTAGGAATTTGTTATTCAATTCTGTTTTTGAGAGAAAAAAAAAAACCTACTATTTAAAAATAATAATAATAATAAAATTGCCCATATAAATGCTAGTTTATTTATATGCAAATTTTTTTTTTTTTTTTTAATTCACTAGGCTTTATTGACTTATTTCCTATTATGCAATTCCGCCCCCATTTAAATTGTGATGCATTTCCTTTTAGCTTTATGGTGCTATTTTGTCTTATTTATAATTAAGGGACACTCTGGGCACAATACAACATTATACATTTGATAGATGGCCTCAATAATGTACTGTGTTTTTTAAAATTTCTTTGCATGCTTCTTAATTACCCTTCCTACTTAACCAAACCCGCTAATGCCAGAAAGACTTCCTTATCCGTCCCACCATCACTGAATACTTTTAATTCATAACCTGGCTGCAGACAATGAAATAAACTACAAGTAGGTAGTGATATCCTACTATATGCCTCTCTAGGTGTCTCTCCTTCTATTGCAGTTTGCTCTTGTCATTCAGATCATTCAGTGCTTCAAGTGACTGAGCTGCGGGCATACATCTGAGAAGGAAGTCTTTTTCTGGGATGAGGAGGCGTGGCTAAAGAGGCATGCTTATGGTGAAGCATACTGAAACTTTGTTGTTTTTGCATTAAAAAATAAAAGTGCCTTAAAGTTTTATTGGTGCCCAGAGTGTCCCTTTCAATGAACACCATTAGCTTTTATTTGGGTTTTAATATGTGGTGTTTGTAGAATTAATTTACCTTTCAAAGAAGAAAGTGCTACTTGAATGTTAATCCTGTTGACAAAGTGAATACATTTTGTTTTGTGTGCATTTGATAAAACAATTTAAAACAAATTATATATAATGTGCACATAAGATTAGAAGTAATAAGAAAATGAAAACATATTATCAAATTTACAGCAATATGTTTTCTTCAACTGAACACATTTGCATAATATCCCTGAAATCTTCAGCAAGTATTACAACAACACTGTACTGTATTGTCTTTTAATTGCATTAGAATTTCAGTAAAATTCCATCATAAGAAAAAGCAAGGGACTACATTGTTCTAGGTCAGAGACAATTTTTGGTAAACCTTGACAAAAGGCAGATCATTAAACTGCGTCCACCTGCTATTTAACATCAGCCGTGACTTGCAAGACTATTTTTGCATGGTGTGCATTTCATGCTTTTAGCAACACATTGGTAATACTCAAAGACCTATGGAAAATACCACTATTTTGCAAAAACCTCCAAAATGCAGTATCGTTTCAGATCAGCATATCTCCCTTGATACAGGTACCATGCAATCAAACCTGTCATGTTGGGGAAAAAAATACAAAAACCCCCCACAAGTAACAGTGCTGCTTAATCTCTTCATCGTGCTGTTGCAGCTTTTCAGTAGGTAGGGCTCAAAACTGCAGTACCGTTAAGTAGTAAAATATTTTAGATGGATGGTGAATGAAAACTATAGAAAACTTGAACTTTGTTTTTATTTTATTTAAATTTTTTTAGTAAGCTTTATTAATTGGCTTGAAAATACAACCTGTTGATGGGATAACATATGATAATACTTTTAGGACGTAAAGGGATGGTAACACATTTGAGAGCAATGTGTGTGAAAAGGATTAGATATGATGTGAATTTGCAAGAAGCAATAATGAAAAAGGTTATAGCAGATTTCACAAGTTGTCTCCAGTACTTTTCAAATGTCTTATAGATATGTGGGAAGAAGCTTTCAGTGGGTTAATGGTGTTAGAATACCAAAAACGAGTATGTATTCTACTGTATTTCTGTCACACTGTGCCATTTGTTTGTTTCGTGCTCAAAGAATATGAAATGTATTTTATAAAATGTGTTCAAATAAGAGGTATCTTCCTATTTGTAACATTTAAATTAATTTAACAATTTGGGGTAATTTTTGCTAGGTAAATATTTGTGCTAAACAAAATTGCTTGTATTATAATGTCTCTTTTTATTTTAAAAGTTTCTTGTTTATTATTTTCGACCACAAACCTGTTGTGTTCATTTATTATTTGTTTTGCTACTGATTCAAGATCTTATTTAATTTGATTTTCCCTTTTAACCTGACAAATTCACGACTATTAGTCAAATTTAGTGCTGTGGTTCGGTAATTCATTAAAAAATAATGCCCTTCTCAAGTGAAACTGCTTTAAAAACCTATTGAGCAAAGAACTGTACATTATAAAATTTTACTTTGAGATAGTTTAGTTTTACTACTATATTGCAGTTTACAGTCCAAGCACCATAACCACTACAGCCCTGGGGCCGCCCAGTACTCACAACTTACCTCGGTCCGACCAAATGCCTGTTGTTACCCCTGCTGCTGGAAACTTCTACCTTTGAGTGAATAGTAGGTACTATTTCTCAAAATAAGTGCTGTTAAAAGGCTCTTTGCCTACCACCTGTCATATGGCTAACCCTACTTCATGTTGCTGTGCAGAGAGGAAGGAAATGGCTGGCAGAGTTGCTAGGCACTGGAGCCCCAATTCTGGGGTTAAACCCTTGCTAAATTAGTTTGTTGTTGTAGGGGTGGGAGTGGTCATTTTAATCTGAAAGATTCATTTGCGGTACTTTTGGTCACTGGAGTAATACACTCCAGCAAATGACATAATGGCTTTTAAAGAGATACATATGTGCTAGTACCATTGAATACCATGTGAAGTTAAAATCATAACCCTTTCAATGCCAGTGCAGGGCTGCCAAGTCACACAGTTACTCCATTTGACACCTGACACCTCCGCCCCAGAACTCTAATCAGGGACTTATGGAAAGTGCTGTGCAATAGGATGATCAGTTGCACTTGTGTTGCATTTTGTAATACATTTTATGGGCACTGCCTGTAAACTTCCTGGCATTCTTTTATCCTGACTTGCATGCGCATGCAGCATTACACACATTCTTAATTGGTGGATATGTTGTCCATGAGATCATTTGTAACAGGAATTGCACTCAATCCAAAAGCTGATTGTGTGCTTAGCTATATCATTGGCCAGCACTCACCCATCAAAATATAGATATAGAAAATAGAATGTCCAGGCACCCCAATGCTTTAGGGCATATTTTTTGGAACCAGTAGAACACCGCAATGTTTTGACCCTAGATTAGGTTATTGTCAAACTTGTGTCACTTGTGCTCTACTCCATCACCATCCTCCTTGCTTTCTGACCTTCAATAGTTGTCTGCCAATGACAGGCCTGCACAGTCATGATAAAAAAGGGATACACTTAACCCTGTCCCTGAAGGGGTTAAAGTAAATAGCCAGAATGTAGAGCATCAAAAGGGCTAATTTAGTTGTATGTCTTTTTTGTTTGTTTTGGATTTCCTCACCTTTTCAATCCATTTTGTGTGTAAATGAATAAATATGGTTGTTTGAACACACTTCCTGTACACACACACCTTTTATATAAATATGCAAATATATATTTTTTTGTAAAAATAAGGAATATTTGTTTACAAGCCTGTTCCCATTGAATGTATTTTGAATCTTCATTGTATGTGCTAAGTACAAATAAAAATGAAGCTGTTTCAGATCACATCGTTTGGCATTTTTGTTTTCAACCATAACTATTTCTCCGTCCCATTATCACAGCCCCCTCTTTTGTGACATTGCAGGAATAACAACCTGCAGCTTAAAAACAGAAGTACGATACTTATCTAGTTTGTTGGTTGCGTATGAATTTGCTGATTCATTATATCAGTGTTGATGATGGGCATGATGAATCTCTGGCAGAGAAGAGCTACATTTATATAATCATAAGAAAAAAATGTCAACTTTTTATTTAATTTAAATGTTTAGCTTACACTAATGCTACACTTTTTTTTTTTTTTTGACTTATTGAGCAGATACATGTTAGGTCATATAATGGTTATCTTTCCCCGGTGTACTTGCTAATCTATTACATTTCATTTAAAGTTTCAATCTTTTTTATTTATTCTTTTCTAAAATCACTTATGCAGTTCATTGGGGTCGTGTCCACATTGTCATTTGTCCATCTGGTGATATTGTATCATTACATCGGTGCATTCCCTTTCCAAAATATACTGCCTGACTTTCACTCTGTTCCTAGGTTTAGCTACATGCCTCGATATATGAAAGAGAATACAAAATGGTGCAATGTGTATTGTCAGAAAATTATTCCATCAGGAGGATCTTCAGTTTAAATTATAATCCACAAAAACCACAATCCTCAAGACCAAAGGTCATCTGGTTTATGTAAATTTACAGAACACATGGACTGCATTACTTTGCCCCAATCTGCACTTATCTTATGTTACAATACTTTATTTTTCTTTTATTGTTTACATTTATGCAAGTGCCTTTACTTATCTGAGGGCAGAAGCAGGACATACATATCCTGGTCTTCCAGAGGATTGTGGGAGTAGCACTTCAAGATGGCAGGTGCCCTGTTGGCTTGGGAAAGATCAGAGGCGGCTGTCTGAGAGAGTAACCCCTCCTAATCTCAGACAGACCAGCATAAGTAACTAATTTGGCTTAGGGTATTTTGTTATCGTTGTTACCATCATTTATATGGTGCCAACATATTCCTCAGCCTTTTGCTGAGAACAAGTAATTGACTTATAAATATCTGATAACCAGTATTATCAAATGAGTTTATTATCAATGAGAAAGTAGTTTAAAAAAAAATTAATCCAGGAAACTGCTAGGTGTTACTAATTGTTTTCATTTACTTCTTAAATGACTGGATGTTAGGGGAAAGTCTAATGGCACATATTAGGGATTTTTATTGGAATGGGGCAGCCCTCTAACAATTATTTAGATGAAAGTTGGTACAGGAACAAGTAAGATAGGAGAAGGTTGCTTGCAGAGTGAACGGAATGAGGAGTGTACATTTTATGCGGACATGTAGTGGAATTATTGAGGGCTTTGTAAGCTGGTATTAAACGTTTTAACTGGATTCTGAAGGGTACAGGATGCTGATTTTAATGACTGGCAAAGTGATGGGGTGTGGGAGTGGTGAGTCGGAAAGAGGAGCCTGGGGGTGGCATTCATGAAGAGTGGCATAATGGATATTTGGAAGGCCAATAGTCAAGTCGGAAAATAAGTGCATGAACAAGTGCCCTTGTATTTTTTGTTAGAAAAGGTGAATACGGTGTTTAGGTGGCAGTTGCAGGATTTGGAGACTGACTGGATTTGAGGAGAAGAGGTAGGATCTGAGTGGAATGTACTGTGATGGCAGTGAGCTTAAGAAGTTGGGGTAATCAGGGCATCTATAGTAATTGGCAAGGCATTTTATTGGGACCCTTGGAGCCTGCCCCCCCACTCCTTGGCATGCAATCACGCCTCTTACCCCAACGCAGTGGAGGGAACTAAAGTAGAGCGGTGCAAGACATACTTACAGACATATACACTGACTGTATGTCTCTCAATATGTGTGTCTGTGTGTGTGTTAGTATGTCGGTTAGGGTGTGTGTGTGATAGTATGTCTGTCAGTTTGTGTCAATATGTCTGTGCGTGTCAATATTGAAACATAGAATGTGACAATAAGAGCCATTCGGCCCATCTAGTCCGCCCAATTTTCTAAATAGTTTTATAAGTCCCTGGCCTAATAAATGTGTGTGTGTGTGTGTGTGTGTGTCAGTATGTTTGTGTATACACATACTGACCCAAACACATATACTAACACAGACAGGGGGTAATAGATGTCCCATTGACTTGGAGGGAGATAACTGTTAGACTATTTGGGAGGTGAGGGGGAAGAGATGAGTTCAGTTTTAGAATATTTTTTTTTTTTTAAATGGTAAGAAATCCAGTTAGAGATTGAGTTTGTGACATGTTCCAGGAGGGCAGCTCAGAGATCAGGTACAGAGCAGTAAATCTAAGTATTAAGATGGTATAAAAATCCCAAAGCGTTGATAATAGAGACTGTGTCAATGGATAATAGGAAGGCCAAGAATGGGTAACACTAAGATGGGCAGAGGGGAGGAGGTGGCACCAGAGAATGATTCCCTAAATGAGCATTCAGAAAGGATGAAAGTACAGTATCACGGAAGCCAAGGTTGTGTGAAATTCCAAAACCGTCAAAAGATATGAGGACTTCTGTAATCTTTTCAGTACTTTAAGCATCATGAATGACAAACCCTGTCATTCTTGATGGCCACAGACATCAGCCACCACATTTACCAGAACTGTAAATTTTTTAGTTTTGCTGTAACAGACATAACTGAAAAAGTGACCAGGGATATTTTAGAAGGTCTGCGAAACTGGAAACAAAGGCACTCATTCAAAATTAGAGTTGAAATACATGTAAAAACTGATCTGCAACATTGCTAGGTCTAAAATGCACCTAGGACTGTGTATCAAAGCAAATCACGATCTGCTCTTGGACACACCCAAACTCTACCCCTAAATTAACACCAACGTTACCTTATTATTCCTCATGGCCAAAGCCCCCTTGTTTCCCCCCCTAGACACAGAGGATCAAAAACGTAAAAATAGCTGCACATTGTCAATCATGTACAGAACTATCCACTAACAGGTATGGACATACCTTAATTAATGCAAGTTCACGTTTATTAGTATTATTTATAAAGCACCAACAGATTATGCAGCGCTGTACAATGGGACGACTGACACACTTACTTGAAACAAGACAAAATGGACGCACAGGATCAGTGGGGTTGAGGGCCCTGCTCGATGAGCTTACATGCTAGTGGTAGTGGGGTATACAGGGAGTGCAGAATTATTAGGCAAGTTGTATTTTTGAGGATTAATTTTATTATTGAACAACAACCATGTTCTCAATGAACCCAAAAAACTCATTAATATCAAAGCTGAATATTTTTGGAAGTAGTTTTTAGTTTGTTTTTAGTTTAGCTATGTTAGGGGGATATCTGTGTGTGCAGGTGACTATTACTGTGCATAATTATTAGGCAACTTAACAAAAAACAAATATATACCCATTTCAATTATTTATTATTACCAGTGAAACCAATATAACATCTCAACATTCACAAATATACATTTCTGACATTCAAAAACAAAACAAAAACAAATCAGTGACCAATATAGTCACCTTTCTTTGCAAGGACACTCAAAAGCCTGCCATCCATGGATTCTGTCAGTGTTTTGATCTGTTCACCATCAACATTGCGTGCAGCAGCAACCACAGCCTCCCAGACACTGTTCAGAGAGGTGTACTGTTTTCCCTCCTTGTAAATCTCACATTTGATGATGGACCACAGGTTCTCATTGGGGTTCAGATCAGGTGAACAAGGAGGCCATGTCATTAGATTTTCTTCTTTTATACCCTTTCTTGCCAGCCACGCTGTGGAGTACTTGGACACGTGTGATGGAGCATTGTCCTGCATGAAAATCATGTTTTTCTTGAAGGATGCAGACTTCTTCCTGTACCACTGCTTGAAGAAGGTGTCTTCCAGGAACTAGCAGTAGGACTGGGAGTTGAGCTTGACTCTATCCTCAACCCGAAAAAGCCCCACAAGCTCATCTTTGATGATACCAGCCCAAACCAGTACTCCACCTCCACCTTGCTGGCGTCTGAGTCGGACTGGAGCTCTCTGCCCTTTACCAATCCAGCCACGGGCCCATCCATCTGGCCCATCAAGACTCACTCTCATTTCATCAGTCCATAAAACCTTAGAAAATCAGTCTTGAGATATTTCTTGGCCCAGTCTTGACGTTTCAGCTTGTGTGTCTTGTTCAGTGGTGGTCATCTTTCAGCTTTTCTTACCTTGGCCATGTCTCTGAGTATTGCACACCTTGTGCTTTTGGGCACTCCAGTGATGTTGCAGCTCTGAAATATGGCCAAACTGGTGGCAAGTGGCATCGTGGCAGCTGCACGCTTGACTTTTCTCAGTTCATGGGCAGTTATTTTTCGCCTTGGTTTTTCCACACGCTTCTTGCGACCCTGTTGACTATTTTGAATGAAACGCTTGATTGTTCGATGATCACGCTTCAGAAGCTTTGCAATTTTAAGAGTGCTGCATCCCTCTGCAAGATATCTCACTATTTTTGACTTTTCTGAGCCTGTCAAGTCCTTCTTTTGACCCATTTTGCCAAAGGAAAGGAAGTTGCCTAATAATTATGCACACCTGATATAGGGTGTTGATGTCATTAGACACACCCCTTCTCATTACAGAGATGCACATCACCTAATATGCTTAATTGGTAGTAGGCTTTCGAGCCTATACAGCTTGGAGTAAGACAACATGCATAAAGAGGATGATGTGGTCAAAATACTCATTTCCCTAATAATTCTGCACTCCCTGTAGTGTCACAAAAAGTAAGGGTAGAGTAGAAAACCACGGTTGCTAGAATATTATTCACTGAGGGATACAGTATGGGGTTTTTTCTTTTTCTTTTTAATAAATATGCCAATTGCAGGAGAGCAATCTGGGTGCAGGGAGTGAAGCCTGTTACTATGTTGTTTAACTCTATGGAGACTGGGTGAAAGTCTAATGAAGAATGGAAGGGAGTTCCATAGGAACGCTGCAGCCCTAGAGAAGTCTTGAAGGCGAGCATCAAAGGTGGGAGTATGAGCAGAGGATCGTCAGAGG